GAAGTATGTCATCCCACATACTATCGAACTCTCAGTGAAAACTGCTATGTTCTTTGCTTCTGCCTTACGGCGCATCTCAGCACACTTTGACCTGTGTTACAGGGTTCGCTGATCCACCAAGTGGAGAATCCCATGGCATGCACCATTTACTGCCAGGATTCGCGCTCCAGCTAGTGTCTTTTGTATAGGGCTAATCAGCCGCTCTGAGGTGATGTGTTTTCTCACAGCTCTAGCTTAGCCGCGCCTGTTTCACAATAGGCGTGTCACCAGTGCCGCGCATGGGACCAGGGGACGGTTCCGCGAACGCAAAGTCAAAAAAAGTCTCTTCCTTACGTACTGTATAGCATGTAGAAAGTTGGAACACGAGCAAAGCGGGTGGGGGTTGCTGGTCTGGCATGGCCACTGGCATGAACATTCATTGGTAGGTCTTTCTTGGACCTGCTTGTGTAGTTCGGTCTCGATGGCTCGTTAACATGTCTTGGTCTGGGCAGTGCAGCTGTGACGATTTTCTTACACATGTCACTCAGTGCCGTGCAGCTGTGACGACTTGCGTGCATGCATTATTCAGTGCAGTGCTGCTGTGAAAAATTTTCGAACATGTCATTTTGTGCAGTGTGACCGGGTCCTTCAGTACTGTTTTCGACTTCGGTAACACATGTTGTTATGTGCAGCGCCAGGTTATCATTCGCGAACACTTGTAATCCTGTGCTGAGCGACGGTCTGGTTTGTGTTGATGATTCGCGTGCGTAACTTTGGTCATTCGGTGCAGTGCAGCTGTGACGACAGGCATACGCGGAATCGCAGGATTTTTGTTCAGGCCTTGGGCGAGGCTCGGATAGTTTCTGTTGAGCAACCAGGGGCGGCATGCCTCAGAATACAGTAACTGTAGCAGTTGGCTGTCCATAATTTACATAACTTTGCTTGAGTCAGTGGGTGCATATCACAAATGTCCAATTGCCAGTTCGATTTTCAATTCCGTTCAAGTTTCGTTTTGAAATTATGTGAACACATGGCAACTTGAAGTTTTAGCACAGGTCATCGATGGCATTCAGAGTGATGTCATCGTGGCACATGTCGGCTTCTACATCGGTTCCAGACTGAAGAATGAAACTAAGTGCTGTAGTTGAGCTTGCCATTGGGATAGGGATATCCATTATTCGGATTTTGCACGATCACCGGGTCTTGGTAACGTTCGCGTTTCGGCTGCAAGGAGCAGGTAGATCCAGCATCATGGCTCCGAAGGTTCGTCTGTCCTGCTGGAAACACACGTTTCACTGGTTGGAGACGTAATATATGCAGTTCTCCGAAGACGCATCGAATTTCAGTTGTGCGGCCGTGTTGTTGCAGGTGAGACAGCAAGTTGAAGCAGTCTCCTTGGGCCCACAGGTCCGGGAGGGAGAGGTCCGCTCGCATGTCGTTGCAGGAATTCTTTTGCAGAGTTCGTCATCAGATCGTTCATCCAACTGCGGTGCTGGTAGCTGTGAAGCCGTGTCGACCATGCCATGGGTTCAAGCGGGTGGGTTTTTCCAGCAGTTGCCCGGATCCTTCGTTTACGAGGCCAAGCGGAGTAGCTCAGAACAGCGGTCTCCCAACCTGACCTGCAATGTTTTGCTGTTAAGGTCTGGGCGACGTGCGATGTCGACTTCAATGAACACCTTGGAAATATCGAACCTCGGCAGTCACGATCTGAGCATCTGTGTATGTCGCGTACATCGCATTGACTTCTGATGGAATATGCACCATGTCCACGTCCTCTGCGTTTGTTGGAATTTTCCTTCGCCCAGGCTCTGATGAGCGGATTGCAGCCAGGCGACAGCGAGCAGAGGCTTTGAGAACATCTTGCATGCCAAGACCTGGCATTTATGTGATCTTGCCTCGTTCGCGTCTGTCAATGTGAATTTGACAAAGCGGGAGCTTGACGACTGTGGTCTGCGGTCACTCACGTGCTCGACAAAAACTTGTCAGGAATCTTGAAATCAAGTATTTGGGGCTTTGTAGATGCTTTAATGCAACAGTATCAAGTTCGCAGCTGGTGTGAGGCCAAGCTCAAGCAGGACAAGGCTAGGATCCAAGGGACAGATGAAATTGCTTCCGCTTATTACGGTAGTGTATGTTTGTGAGCTGCCCGCTGGGATGGTCCAATGGCGAGGAGGAGGCGGAAGGTAAGAAGACCAAGAAGGACGACACAGCAGAGCAGGTTTCACTCGGCAAAGAGCAGTATGCAGTCCGGCGCCTACCATGGTGTTGCCAAACATTGGTGTGAATTGTACTGCTTGCTTTGACTTAGAAATCGGTGGCGGAACTCGAGCGCTTCCGAACAGAAACTTGGGAAGAGCAGTCCACTCAGTCTAGGTTGTGGTCGGTTAGCTCCTGTCCAGGATTTCCTCTTTTGCAAGTGCTCATGCCGAGACTACGACCTTCTTCCAATTAGTTCATGCTGTGCCGAAGGTTGACCAGCATTCGTGTACGTTTCGACGACCAGGAGCAATGTTTCTTAGCTTGCTTGTATAGCAACTAGCTACCGGCCCCATGCCATTGCCGTGGTAGGATCAACAAATACAACAGCTGGCAAGCACACATAGGTTTACACAGGTCTCATGCAAAGCTTGGAGTTAACCCGGTCTGTTTGCTGAAGGAGAACCAGCGTCGTATTGTCGAAGAGAACAACCGTCTGGACAGATACGAGGCTGCGGGCCTTGATGGCAGCGTCGAGTTGTTTCGTATGGTAGGACATCAGCGCAACCTCAATACACGTTGTTTCCGGCATGGTCAGTCCCAAGGCTCTCCAGATCGAAGCTGTTACCAGCGGACGCAAGAATGCAGCTATTGAGATGAAGTGGGCCCTTGTCTCGGAAGAGCGGGGCAAGAATATCGTGTTCTGACATCCAATATGGATGTCATGCGAGATCTCAGCAGCAGTCGCAGAAGCCGTGGTAAGTGCCGGGCATTTTATAGATGCAGTGACTTCAGGCTGACCTTCTAAACATGGACATTCCGCAGGCGGGTGCTATTCTCAGAGGCAGGCAGACCAGGCGATAGCCAAGCCAGCTGAAACATTGCACAGGAGCTGAACGACCAGCTCCAGTTTCAGAAGATTGCTTGTGGAGACATCATCAAGCCGTCCTCTCACGACTGTGATTTCAGTGATTTCTTATGTTGCCAACAGTTGCAAGTGCTTGTCGAACATCTTCAGACTTGGTCATTACTGTCGGGCTCAGGTCCAAAGATAGGCGGATAGACGACTTCAAAGCCGAGTTGAAAAACAAGGATGAAGAGTACATCAAGATGCTCAAGCAGCGCAGCCCTGAGTGCAGGGACTTTAGTCAAAACAGGCTGGCTGGAGGGCCGCTTGCAAGGCCTTGGAGCCGCTGAGGCAAAGCGTGGACATCACCACCCTCATCTCCAAGATGCGGGAGCAGTATCACGCACTGAGACAGCATTACGAGAAAGAGCCCGACCCTCACGGCAAGCTTTGTAGCCCGCCTTAGAGCGCTTCAATCACGTCCCCTGTGGTTGCTTGACTCCCATCAGGCTGGAAGATATCGAGCAAGCATTTGAAGACGAGCGAAAAGAGATGCTTCAGAAGAATAAAGCGGAAATAGAGGCCTTCAAACTGGCTGCAGATTACCCGCACTGAGTCATTAAGGGTGACTGTTTAGCATCGATTTACGACGGTCGCTCTGTACATGACATGAATGGTACTTATAAGTCACGGGCCTTCGGGGCACTGCCCTCAAGCAGAGGCTCGCCTTTGGTTGAAAGCCATGATGGCAGGACTCGAACAGCAGTCGCGACTCGAGCTGCTGCACCCATATCAGAACTCTGGGCACGCGTTTGTGCCAGGCACTGTTTGAGAAGAGAAGACAAATGGAGGAGAATGAATTCCTCGAAAGACGGCAGGCAGATCGCAAGTTTCGACTGCGAGCTCGATAGTGACCATGGTAATACATTCCCGGCTTGACGGAAGGAGCGTGAAAGAGGATTTCAGCAGCAAATAGAAGAGCTCAGAACGGACAATGCTGATGGATACAATAAGTGTACTTCCCTCAGAAAATGCTTCATGTCGGAGGCTCTGTCGACGCAGTTTCGAGCACACGGGTGATTTGTGTCACTGCAGGCAAAATTGCACTGGAAAAGGGTATTCAGGCAAGGCTGGCTGGTGTTTTCTTGCGGGCTTAGCAGCATGTGGTGAGATCCTGCAGAGGAACTAGAGCAGCACTTGGAGAAGATGGTTGCGACATACCTCCTCAACAAGGATTTGCAATTGTGTGGTTTACAGAGTTTCTTTTCTCTGCCTGTGACCCTTCCAACTGATGCCGGGCCTGTAGCAAGGTATCCGCATTCATCTTTTGGTTTGCAACCACTCTTTCGCGGCGATTGCCCCCTGCATTAGGGGTATGAGTTGGTTCGGAGATTGTTGTAGTTTTGAGCCAACGCTTGGGGGGCAAGCGTCTTGGAATGTCCACGACGCAGGGTTTTTGATCAGGCAGTTGCTTGTAGTGCGCAGCAAGCAGAAACAGTACAAACTTCGTCCACGCAGGAGAAGCTGGAGTACAATCTCCAGGCATTAGTCTTGAGTCTTGATCATGCATAAATACCGGCTGTTGCCTTTCTCGCCAGGTTCTTTCTGAACGAAACAAGGAGCATACTGCCATCCAGTCAGGTACTCGTGAGTGCCTGTTCTCGCGATGTCAGTCTCCTTCATCCTGCACGTCCTAACCAGGGATTGAAATTCAGCCGTTGAGTTGTGTCCCTCGGGCTTACGAGACTCGATTTGCTGGTTCATCTTGTTCTTGGGACTTGAGCGCTTCCCAAGACTCAAGCATCGATGCAACTGTTCCGCAAAGGTCTTCGTACAAAAACCGCTTGAATCGACTTCGGGAGACTTTGCCAGAGACCCAGCAAGATGCCCGCAGCGCTGTGCTGAGCCGTGTCACCGGTGCCACAGGAATACCCTGATGGGTCGGTACAACACCTTGGACCAGAAGTGCCTCATACATCTTGAAACCGAAGCATGTGCACCACGGGGCGTTTTCCTGACTCGATGCTGCAATTTCAGGTACAAGACTCACAATCACGAGCTCACAGAAGAGTACAAGCGCCTGACCAAGCAGTTCAAGGATGGCTCCAGTTAGCTCGCAGTTGCCAGAAGACTCGTCGAACCTGGTGTGTTGCAACCCGCCTTCCACTGTTTTGAGTTTGCACATCGGTTATCATGACTCAGCGATCTGGGCACCTGATGTTCAAGTGGCAGCTGCAGCACGACAGGACCTGCAGGAGAAGTTTCAACACTTCGAGCAGGCCGACGAGAAGAAGTTCAGAGAGGCCAGGTGGAAAGCTTCTTGCTCACTGTGACTCCGTCACCCTTTCGGGTGGAAATGGGGCTTGTCAGGTTTGGGAGATGAACGAGGCCGAGGTGCGAGGTCTTATGACCAAGGCCGAAGCAGTGATTGCGATTCGCCTCAGACAGGCTGCGGTCTTGTCGCGCCCGTTTTTTCCTTGTTGTGAGGTCCTCGAGGCAGATCGGCTTCTTCATGAACAGCAGTCATGCCGACGAATTTCCTCAGCGACAGGCCGCAGACACGACAGCCCCTGATGCCGGCCAGGCTGGGCCACGAGTGGGTCCCTCCAAAGGAGGAGCTGCTACAGCAGGACGCTGCGAGAGTCAAGATTCCGGCGAGAAGGGCTCGGCATTCTCTTTTTTTTCTCATGTCAGGAGTTGGACACTTTCTCGGAGTCGGGCACGACTACCGGGAAGAGCACGGCTCTGGAGCCTCCTGCTCAAACTTGTTGGACGGTTACACAAAAAAGTTGCTGGGGTGTGAGCCATGAGACATCCCGCAGGTCGGCCGAAATGGGGCAGTCAGACTCCGGGAAGTTTTCTGCAACGAAGGTCAAGAAGGTTGGGCTCGTAAGTTCGTGTTGATGCCGTAGAAGCAAGTCTCTCTCTCCCTTTCGCATTCATTGACCGTCTTCCCGACGCTTGAGGTATTGGATCTCATAAAAGAGGAGACCCAGTTCCTGCTCGACATGAAGGCCGGAGCTGTGTTTTTTTCACAGAGATTGGCTTTTCCTACAGACTTGCTGTTCCATGCACCCTCGGCACGCTTTCGCAGGAAAGGTCAAACTAGCTTGGGACTGAAACTGCCGTTCTAGGATTCTAGGGACACTACGATTTCATCAGATGTCATCCATTTCCGTCTCTCTCAGCCATCACGGCCACCCGGGCTTTTGCCAGTTCTTGCAGCCATGCGACGCAAGAGCCCGGGGAGTGCGGGAAATGGCGGGCTGGAGCGGCCGATCTCTCAGGAGATGGAGGTGCAGGAGGGCTTTCGGGTCGTCGGTCTTCGTTTTCACCGCGCATCACCATGATGAAAGTCAGGCAACACAGCTCTTGGAGGTGCGGATCGCGACCAGCGACATGGAAGCGCAGGCCGGAGCTCCAAAGCGTGGCACATGCGCCTTTCAAGATTTGCAACCTCCAGGATGGGACGCTGATTCCCAGGCTTGCAAGCATGGTGAACCGAGCCTATGGCTACAGGCTCCGCGACTTCGTTCTGCTTTCAAGTGTTGTCAGTTCTTGATAGGCGAATCTCTGAGCATGATGTTCGCAGTCGAGTGGCCATGGGGGATGGTGGAGGTTCCCGGCTGCGTGTGTTTGCTCACCTCGCGCAGCTGACAGTCTGCCTTGAGGCTGTGCCAACAGAGTGTTGCATTTGGCTTTCCGCGATTCTCAGCTTGTTGGCTGACCCTCGGCGGTGGAGAGGTCGTGCTTGTCTTTTGGATCGCTCGAGGTTCAGGCTGGCTATGCTAGCTGAGGCTGCTCCTCCACGATACAGCCGCCATTTACGTGCTGCGGCTGCGGACACTGGGGGCTGATGGATCCTTGGCAAAAGGTAAGCGTTTTGTGATTCCGGTCCCGAATCTAGGGATTTTTGAGATGCAAGGTCGTGGATCCTGCAGCGCAGGCCGTATCGGGGGAGAGCTGAGAACAGGTCGTTTGCATCGGTTTTGCGTCGCAGACAAGGGCTCTGGCGTCGCTTCGGCCCTGGCGGTGGCTGCCGAGCAGCGTCTAGCCCGGGCAGGGTGCGTGGCGGTGCAGATCGAGCCATGGCCCAAGATGGTCGAAGCCAGGCTTTTTGCAGCTTAAGCCGACACCTTTAAGGTATCAGTTCACGGTCGGCGACGAGTTTTGTGAAAGGCTGCGTGGCTGGTACGCGCCTTGCAGAGCAGTCGGACCTTCCTTCAAGCGCCCTACCAAAAATTCCCAGTGTGGATGCTGGCCAGCTTAGAGCCAAGGAAGGGCAGCTTGGTTTCCGATGCCTCACTGGGGCGCCCAGCGCCGTCACAGGCAGCCGAGAGATTCTCGGATGCAGGGCCCAGCTCTTTTTCTAAACAGGGATGTCCTGCTGTAGGGCGTTGGCATGGCTGCGGCTCTCAGGTTTCGTCTTTGCCACAAGTGGCTACGGCCCACTGGCTGCTCACATTGCTGCCACCTCTGTGTGGTTTCGTAGCGCTGGTCTTTGAAAAGCAACTTGACCAAAGATGGCGACCGTGGAGGCCCATATGATTTCGAAGAGGTTGCGTACCCGCCGCTGGCCGGAGCATGGACTCCGGGATTGCTGAGCCGAGCTCGGCAAGAGCCGTGTTTGCGGTGATGTTGAGCTCCCCCAGAAGCTCTAAAGAACAACCTCATGCTGGGAACGCTCGGAGTGTACATAGGAACATGGATGAAGGTCCTCAACGTGAGCAAGCATTTGCAAGCAGTTCCCCATCGACCACAAGCAGTGTGCTGCGTTCTTTTGCCCAGACAAGGAGGCTTTGGAAGGCATGAAAACAGAGCCTTCCTTGTGGCACAAGCTTTCAACGTGCCCATTACAGAATCCAAGCATCGTGTCTTGTTTGGTGCAGTCTTCCAGCAGGTTGCAGAGACAAAATCCAGGGGCCACTTGCGTGGTGTCTGAGAGGATGTGTCCTTGGAAGGTCCGTGACCAGCTGGCCGAGCTCCCTCCCGAGCAGCGGGACGCCCGGGCCCCGATGCGGTGCGGCCAGTCCGTCGAGTCGCGTCGAGTGCCACCACCACATCTGACATATGGCTTTGTTTGAATCGTTTCTAGCACAAAAACGGCAATCAACGAGCACCATTCTGACAAATAATTCTGCTGAGATCTCACACAAATCCGAGAATCCACAAAGTCAGGAGTGGTTGTGCCGAACTGCCATCTCTGCGAAAATATGGGGTTTTGATTTTTCAGGATTCCTGCGCGGCTCTGCTTGCACACAGAGGGGGGTTGCATGAGGGGTTCATGGTCTGCGTGCATTTCGAGGGAGCTAAAGTCTGTGCTAAACTTTCTCCAATGTGTTGTGCAGACCAGACTTTCCCTGAGACTTTGGGGCACGGTTGTCAAGACAGGTTGGGACTCAAGACAGTCCGGAGTGTAGTTCCCCTTCAAGGAATTGTGCAAATCTCTCATCCAATTGCTGTGCAGCCGTTCATTGGTTGAGCCGAAGCCACCAACTAGCAGCAGCAGCAGCAGCAGAAATCATATCTAGGATGCATTTGTTGTTGAATATTTCAATAGCATTTCACAAAGCGTCAACTGATCAAAGGTACCGTTTTTAGAGAAGATTCACAAACATCCAAAGATTCAGAAAACAACTTATTTATACTGCATACCAGCAGTATTCAAACAACGTTTGGTTGATATTTGCCGAATGCATGACCAGCATTCAGGTAATGTAACAAGTATGTTTCGTCTCAGACGTGATGAGGGTGCAGTGGGCCACAGGTCTTGCAGATCGATGCCCTTCTTCGCTACATTGGCGTGGAAGGGCAGCAGGACGTGGATTTGTCGGGAACCGAGCACAAGCTGATTTCTTCTTTGTAGTTCGCGACGAAACATTCCGTCAAAAGGAAAACTCGCGAGAGCAAATAGCTCCGGTCCAACCAAGAAGCAAAGCTCACGTGACAACGCCAGGCTGGTGCAGGTCTTCTATCGTGGTCAGGAAGAGGACGACGAAGCCCTCATGGCCCCGTCCCTGATCCATTTGGCCCTCTGCGCGACTGCATTCCTCGGGTTAGTCTCCGTCGAGCTTTGCATTCTGTTTAGGAGAATGTCCTCTCTTCCTGTTGCCACATGTTAACGTTCCGTGTGTGAAAGCAATGCCACTACAGAGGTGGAGCCCGATGATGTACTCCAACTCTTGAAAGATTTCATAGAGGAGCTTGGAAACATGCCAGCGCCCAGTCAGTGTTGACTCTGGCAAAAGTTGCGATAGTACACATCTGCTGAAAGAGGAGAAGGAGAACATGAGGATCGCGGACGTGGCTCCTGATAAGAAGAAAAAGGTGAGTGACTCAGCCTCCCACTGTCCAAACAGAGAACTCTCGGCACAGGTATATATGCCGCGTAGGGATCATGGTGGGTCATGGACCGTGAGAACTGCAGGCACGGACCCAGCAGCTCGGCAGCGAGAGCGAGGCAGATCGCAAGGCCGCCATGTCGCACATGTAACACGAATGTTTCTCTCGTCTCTTCGCTTTCTCATCGCTTCTTGCGTTTAAATGTCACACTTCTTCAGTAGGAACTATGTTGGTGTGTTGCCAGGCACGCCGGCGACGAGAAGAAAGGAAGTTCTGGGAGCGAATGGGTCGGAACCTGATTTTCACAGATCACATTGCGTCGTGGAAGCATTCGCGGAGCCCTATGCAGGGTTTCAGTACTGAAAAATGTGTTTGCTCTGGTCCGTCTGCCAGCTCGATAGGCCACGTGATCCCAGACATGAACTTCCGTGTTTGGAAGGCGCTGTGTAATTGTTGTGTCTGAGATATTCCGAGATGACCAACGTGCCACAGCATGAGCGGGGTGTGCCAAGAATTGTCGCAGGCATTGGACGTGTTCCTCAAGCGCTACTATGACCTTCTGCAAAAGAGAAGCAAGGCAACTGTTGAACTATGCGGAACCAGTTACCGCTGCTTCAACTCGCAACGAGATAGCACCTGCTAGGCCATCGACTCTGCAGTCTGCGCCCTTATTGCTTGTGTGCCAGCATCTGCAGTTTCAGGCGCTTGCGTTGTTGAACGACCAGGTGTAACTTTTCAAGACAGATGTAAGAGATGTAAGAGTCAGGTCACAATGCAGAAACAAAACGAAGAGCTGAAGGCACTGTTAGATCAGCACCTCAGCCGCAGCAGGAGATTCGGTTTCTCAAGCCCAAGAGTCGTGGAGTTCTGAAACAGCGCTTGAAACCATCGCTGTGCTTTTCTGGTTCAGGTACTTGGGCTCGAAAGTCAATGAGGAACTGCAGGTGCCGTCTGACACTGAGTCCAGCTGCAGTCACAAGGAATTGCTAACGGTTTCGGACGAAGCCTTCCCTTTGCAGCTTGCTGTGTGATATCCGAGGCCGACGCATGTCATCACTGTGGTCTTGGACTCGGAGCCTCGTGTCGAATCTTCTGGCCCCCCCGTGGCAACTCGCGTTGTTCTGTTTCCAGATTGTTCTGCGATGTGAAACTTTCCGTCTTGCACATGGTTGTCTAGTCTATCAATCAAACCACACCATCTCTTGCTTGCATCACCGTAACTTGCAGTTTGAAGCCTTCCATTTCTGGGTGGCGGGAGCCTGAATGGCAAGGTTGCTGGACCCTAGCAGCCGCAGCCGCAGCTGTAGAGGGACGCCACGGTGGTCAGGTTCTCAGAACGTTCATTGGATTTCCTTCATCCTCTCTGTAGCACTCTTAGAAACAATTTTGTAGGCTTGTCGCAGAGAGCTGACGCGGAAGGACTGCTTTCTTGGCGGCATGGCATTGACTTGCACATTTCCAAGGGTCGTGCTGTGAGTAAAAGCAGGAGAAGGGCCATCCCTCCAGACTCTCTGACAAGCCGCCGCGGGGATCAATCCGTGAGTCTGCAGAAGGCGGATCAGGCAGATCGAGAGTTTTCATGCCTCCGCTAGCCGCGTAGCAATGATAAGTATTACGAGGAGGATTCGCTTGACCAGTCACTTAGTCCTGTGCCGCAAGCAATGTTCTCGTCCGTCGTTTCACCTAGTTGCATCCCGTTTCACATGCCTTCCAAAACGTGCGGGCATTCTTTCATGAATTGAAAAAGCGTTTTCTGCAAAACCCCTACTCAAGAGCCAAGGTCAGCCGGTTTGCAGGGTTTTGCGAGTGCAACACGAGACTTGTCCTGGTATGCGCCAGATCGTGTTCGGCGTAGCGCATATCTATGCCTCGTTCAACGACCGGGTCTCAGCAGTGAATCAAGTGAGACTTGATCATGCCCTAGAAGCTATCGGGCTGTTCATGTGTGATAGGACACCTTCGTCCACGTGACAGACCTGTCTGGGCGCGAAACCATTATGAGGGTGACCGGCGGCATGAAGGCAGATGGGACGGGGAAGCGGGAATGTTTGCAAGATGCGAGGTGACGGTGACGTTAGCTGTATTCTTTGATAGCTGTTCTGCCTCTCTTCGTGACGTGGATCGTGCTCGTGATCCCAGATTATCCCAGCGAGTCCAGCCGTGACTCGCCTTCGATTTGTCGAGGTGAAGGCTGATCGAGACGAATCGTCGCCGTACGCCCATGCCTCGGTCAATTGCGCCATTCGCAGTTTGAAGGGTACCTCAGTGGTGCGCCCGGCATTGCATCTCTCCAAAAGTGACTAGCCAAGATAGGACGAGAACCGAAGACGATGCACTGAGGCTGCGATGCTTGCAGCGCAGGACGTTGCGGCTCGCTGCAAGGAGCGGTAATGTAGACTCGACTCTATGCACGGAGGTGGGTCATCAGCACCCGCCCGTGTCGGCTCAGCATTTGTCAGCTTGAGAGTGGAGCTTCGGCGTTGCAGGAGCTTGGCATCGGAGCTTTGCACATCAAGTTGCGGGCGACAGGGGGCACCAAAACGCGAACTCCGGGGCCAGGCTTGCTCAAGCTGCTTTCGTTTCGGCATAGCACGGCGCAGTAATCAGTACTACTACTGCTAGTACAACAACAGCAAAAAGTATTACCACGATCATAACAACAATAACCCACTGCTGCTGCTGCTGCTACTACTACTACTACTACTACTACGACTACTACCACCACTACCACCACCACCGCCGCCGCCGCCGCCACCACCACCACCACCACGACCACCACGACGACCACCACCACGACCACCACCAC